GAGCGTTATCGCAGGCAACCCGACGACGCCGAACGACTACGACGCCTCAGCTCCAGATTCGCGTATACCGGCTTTGGTGACAGTTGGCGTCGTCGTCGTCGTCGTAGCCCTCGTGCTCCCCATTCTGTACGTAATCTCTCTCAAGTTCCAACCACCCATATGCATGCTCATGAACAAAAGCTGTCTGGTGAAATTACAGAGCCATAATCAGCCTCAGAGAGACGTTGAGAGAGCAAAAAGGAAATTGAAGGAGACAATCGACCTGCGAATGCTAAATGATGCGAGCCCCTCACAAAAGTACGAGCAGATTCAGGGGTTTAAGAGGGAGGCTGCTGTGGCTTCAACCCAGTCCAGCGCAGCTGAAGTCTGGTACAGTATGTTCCAAGTGGTGCAGTTTTCCTGGTAACACTGACATTGCTGCAGTGCAATCTGCCTCGAAGTCCTAGTGGATGTGGACAGCGTCCGACGATTGAAATGCAAACATCTGTTCACACGACTTGCATCGACTCTTGGCTCAAAAACCGTCATGTCGATTGCCCATTATGCAAGTCAATATTTATTCCAACAGAGGCGTAACGGGCTGAGCGGTAATGACCTCGGGGCAAAGGCCCTCGTCCAGGCAAACTCCCGGCTACTTCTTCTATCTTCCTCATCAGAGTCTTCTTTGTACATCAGGTCCCATTTGGTAGCAATGCAAGTCGGTTCCCTCACACGTGCTTCATAGCCAATTCCTCGTCGGCTGCAACTTTCCTATGGTCTGCGCCTTCATCGACAGGTTCTGCGACGTCAATGTAAGCTGTCCAGCACCAAAGGCCCGCTCCCAGTCTGCAGCCATCGTAGGAATACCAAGGATGTAGAACCAGTTTGCTGATCAGCGGATGCGTGGCCTGGTGCTCCGGCTCGAGCTCCGCCGGTCCCCGAGTAGGCAGAAGTTGACATATCACCATGTTTCGGCGGCCTCGAAGCAGATTTCGGCTGGGGGGTCATGCATCGGAAGCTGCTGGCTTGGGACCACCGAGCACTTCCTGAGGAGTCTGGAAAGTACAATTCTCTTGTATGACGGGTTTCCGGTGTCGCATTGTGCCGGAGAGCTGCTCTGTGAGTTCCACGCTTCCGCGAGGATCTCTGTGATCGGCAGTTTTTATGAGAGCCCGAAATGGGATCCAAGGTCCATAGAGAGGTGGGAGATAAGATCTTGGTCGATATCCTTGTACACGAGATACCGTAGAGTGACGGTAAATGGAAGAGGCAAAAGCAGGAAACAGACGCTGTACGGGCTTTTAGGAGATCATGACAAAGCTTGGGAAACGGAAATGTGCAGAGCAAATAGTGGCCCTATTGGCTGGCAGCCACCGGACATGATTAAATGTGTGTGTGCGTGTGTGTGTGTGTGTGTTCTGGTTGACCAAACGTACATCCGAAATTGTCTGCGTACTTAAAATACAGGCTTTCATCAACAGGAGACCGAGATATCTGTGGTCCTCTCCTGGGACACCTCGCCAGTCCTTAGCTCCTCTGGGCTGGCACCCAGATCTCCAGTCACGACGATAACTCTTCTTGATGAGAGCCACTCCGTCAAGATTAATTTCGGAGCTGCATGGGTTCATCAACCTCAAACGAATCGGGGAAGATATGTGAGGATCGCTGCTTTATGTCCCCCTTCCATCATGAGCAGGGGTAAGGCCGGGGTGATGCGTAGTCATCCGGGGTGATCGGCATTCCCCAGGTTTCCCAGCGATTCGGCACCATTGTGGAGCCATTCTAGCTTTACTAGCTCGTCCACATACGCTCGTCTCCAATCATAAACCCGGAAAGCCCCCTGCGTTGACGAGTGCCCTCTGCAGGCTATCAGACATCAGACCACACAAGGTCCTACATAGTAGCTGAGCTACACAACTCTAACTTACCGAAGACCCAGCTTTCACATGCTGAGGTATGAGTTCTGGAAAGGACGGCACATTGTCAGCCTCCCAGTGCGGGGAAAGGTCAACGGTTGGGGCATACCGAGATGTAAGTCTGTCGTAGGAGGCGTGCTGCGTCCTCAGGCTGGTTTGTACCATGATGTCGAACGACAGTATCATTCAACAGAACAGGCACCCCGCAATCTCTCGGCCGCTCAGCGAGCTTAGATTGAATAGGCATGCCCCGGTAAAAGACAGCGGGTGAATACCTGGCTCAGTGCTTCGATGTAAGTTGTGAGGAGCGAAGTGTGTCACGTTCATATGTGGCACTGGTAGCCATTCCTCTAGCTTGGCTCAGTTAAGTACTTCAAACACACGACTATACGGCGGCTAACAACGGTTGATCCCTTGATACCAAGTACGTCATGTTGCATCTGATGAATCTCCCAGACCCACGCAATTGTTGGCCGGTTACAGCGCTTGGGCCATAGGTTCATTTGACATGTCAGTACCAGCAAGAGAGATCCCATCCAGTAAGGAGGTTCGGCGACACTTCACGGGTTGTTTTCTGCAACGCTCACTCGCCATTATAAGAGAAGTTTGAGTCAAGATGTGTCATAGATACGAGGAAATCTGCACGGTTGAAGCTTCATTCTGAACCAATGATGCGTTACTGCCCGGAAAACATCGGTGTAGAACGAGCCGCGAAGAAGCATAAAGTCCCCAGAAGCAACCCAGCTTCAAGATCTTTTCCTTTCCTTCTCCTCAGACAGGACGTCTCTTATCATTTAACCGCCTAATCACTTGCCAAGTTCAATTCACTATCTCCCCTTCATCACATGCGTGCAACTGCCGTCAACATGGATGATATCCAATTTGCGTCTTCTGATTCTTCGTCCAAAAATTCCAAGCTCCTCGTCGTCGACCCATCCGCACTCGTTGAAGCCATCCTTGGCCACAAGGCCAACAAGCAAATGTCTCCTGGCTCTGACAGTTTCCAGTCAGACTACGATGAGCTCGGCGATGTGAAACCGGCATCAACGCTCTCCTCTGGAGGACGGAGCCTGCACGCTGACGCCCCCCCCCCAAGGATGTCAGAGTGGGTGCCGTCAATCCATATGCCCTTGCCGAAGCCCTGCTTGGGCGAAAGATTGAGGCTCGTACGATGGCCTCGGCGAAGATCCTGGCCAGTGTCCTCCAGACGGAATATGATGAACTCTTCGATATGAAGCATGATTCCGTGCTCTTTGCCGGACTGAAGCTCAACAAGAAAGATAGGAAAGCGGAGAAGCTGACGGAGAAGGACATGAAGATCCTAAACGAGCACGATCTCGAAACCCCTGATCTCTCGGAGGTCCAGCAGTTGAAGGACCTCGAGAAGATTGGACTGAAGGACATGGGTGAAGCCCGTGTGAAGATGGCTCGCATGCAGAATGGCAAGCTGCGCTTGATCATCGATGCGCACTCTCTGGGCAAGACGGTCACCAACCGGGAGGTGACCATGACCGTCAACGAGCTTGTCACTCCCTTCAGAATGCAAAAGGGCCACTGGATGCCGCCGAACGGTTCGTGGCGCGACATGTACGACTATTACTTCCAGATGTTCCGCAAGCGCGTCATTGGCGACCTTGCCACGTTCCAGATTGTCAACGGGAACACTATGCACAGCTTCGACGACCCGATCCAGGGTTGTACCAGCAACAGCTGGCTGATTGCCGCCCTCTTCTCCGTCTTCTGGTCGGACCCTTCTGCCATCAACCGCTCGACCCGCGTCCACCAGAACAAGGACGAGAAGAAGCGCCTCGTTATCAAATTCCACGACAAGGGCGGCGACAACAACGCCCGCACCGACACTGTGGAGGTCAACTACGAGATCCCCATGAATAACTCGAACAACGAGCCCCTGTACTGCCGCTCCAGCGACGGAGCTGACATCTGGCCCTCGTTGTACGAGAAGGCCTTCGCCAAATGGATCACCGGCAGCTCCTCTCAGCAGCCCGACATCACCCAGACGCACAGCGGCGATCCGGTCAAGGCCATGGCCCAGATCAACGGGCGCGACACCCATTACTACATTACCGAGAAGCACTCTGCCAACGACTTGCTCGGGCTGGTCCGCTCCAACTGTGTCAACCTCAAGACCATCAACCCCATGACGGCCTGGACCTACGCCACCGGCGATGTGTATACCGGCAGCAACATCGTTGCCAACCATGCCTATTCCGTCCTCGGCTACACTGTCCTCGGCCACAAGCAGTACATCATTCTTCGCAACCCTTGGGGCGTCACCGAGCCGACCGGCTTGACTAGCTACCCGGGACTCCTGGAGCGCATTGATCCGACTACGTGGTACCCTGCCTCCATGCTTGACCATGGCGGTCTCTTCGGTCTCGAGGCCAAGGCCTTCAAGGAATGCTTTGCCTACATTGGCACTGCGAAGTAAGCCAGGGCGTTGAGGTTTCCATAAGCATACGATGTGCTCAAACCCACTCTCTCACCCGCTCCTTTGGTTTCTTGTGGTGCAGTCCACTCCTTGTTGCAGCTTCTTCCCCTTGCTTCAGTTGCTTCCCCGAAGGCTAGGGAGGATACAAGGTGCTAGGATTGGCCTATGCAACATGTTAGGCTTAACAGATTGATCGCTGGCCCTCCAAGGGAGCTGGGGCCCATACGTAGTTCTCATAGGAATGCAAGTTTGCCCCGATATTTGATTAGTTGGACGGCCACGGGGCGATATTTGGTTGAACTGGCAATTTGCCAAATGATTTGCATGCTTAACTCTACCTGTTTGCAAAATATCTACTGCTCATAGGTCGCGCATACTTTGGTAATGTTGGCTGGCAGTGAGATAAGTTACTCCTAAACGTTGTCTTATCGCCACTATTGGAACATGAGAATAAAGGAAGTAGTTGCCTCTGAGACATATTCTTCATCTGGAAGGTTTGAATAAGGCAATGTCCAGCAAAGATACTAGGCAAAACTTCGCAACGATGGAGTGGTGTGCAAGGCCTGGAGAACCAGTCGCCAGTGTCTGTACTCAGCCAGGCCTTCGGGGCACAGGTGTTCCGACTCCCAGCCTCTTAAATCGGAGGAACACTGACCCCAGAACTTGGTGTTATCAGTGCGGTACCTAGAGTTCGAGACGATCCTGCCCTGAATCCACGGAATAGCCTCCTTGTAGCGACGAATGTACTCCGTGTTGAGGTTGGATAGGCCAGAGGCCCCGTTGCGTTGACCGGCAAACCATCTGTCGTATCCATAGTAGTTCTGGCAGTCCCAGCGAGAGGCCACGTCGGCGTGGAGGTCTCTCATATCTTGCTTCAAGGGTGACAGGAGACGAACCAGGCGACGGCTAAACAAACTTTCAAGCAGCCTGCTGAATCTAACAGTCTAGCCCCAAGATAAGGCCCGTGGATGAGGGTATGAAGTTGTGCATACCAGCCAAGGTCTTTCCCGTGGGTGACTTGGGCCACGAGCCTAAGTGCGTCTTCGAATATGTTGTTGTTGTATGGCGAGAACCTCAGCCCAAACTGGTGAAATATCTGGACTTCCAGCGTCGCGTCTTCGGGCTATGTGGTTCTTTTCTCCCGCCAGCCACTTAGCCTCAAAAGCCAGTCCGAGGCTTGCGATGCCGAGTCCGACCTAGTCTCATCAATATGCCAAACCCCGCCTTCGGAACCATCCCACGAAGGGTTCGTCGAATGGCACGCCGATCAGTAGTCGGGGGAAGGTCGAGCCAAGTCCCAGACAACGCACTTTGTGCTGCTCGCGTAAGCGCCCTAACGCTTCGTCGTGGAGACTCTTTCCAATCCCTCGGCCTCGATGTGTCGACCTCACGATGAGAACTCCCAGAGACCCGACGAGGTCCCCAGCGTTATCTGCATTCATGGTATATGTCGCACAGAATCCAAGAAGCCCCGTGTGATCGCGAACTACGGAATGATGGGCGTTGCTTCTGCCTAGAAGGGGCCCAAGAATATCTTGAGGGAGATGGAACCGCGATGGAAGGGCATCCAGCCAAAGCTCTGTGGTCGACTGGAGATCCTGGTCTGAGTTCCAACGCTCCACACGCCATCGATGAGGCATCAAGGCGATGTCATCCTGCCGGCGTTGAGAGGCGGAAACACTGTCATCTATCGAAGAAACTCATATTAGCGGTTGTCCTGAATCTATCCATCTGTAGTAGTTGTAGACTGGTCATACCGGGAGAAGTGTGCGGCTGTTCCCCAGACCCGACGGCCAACCCGGTATCGACAGCCTCACTCTCTGGGCCCGAAACCGCCGACCAATCATCCTCTGCAATGCTCCTACCTAATCTAAACAGCCCCCCAAGGAGGCGCCACCAAGTGCGAGAGCTTGTTTCTGGTCCCCCCAAGATCTGAGGGGTATCATTTCCAGCTGACATGATCGCAGATGGGGTTCATAAGCGAATCGAGTCGAGAGGGAACAGTCGAGACAGGCGAGAATCAATATGGAGCAGACGTGGATCAGGCTAGAAGAGAACAACGCCGGCGGTTCGCCTCAGTTATATCCCTCTGGAGCCTCGCACAACAGCCGAGCGACCACACCACTAGTCGATCCGGACTCTCGGCGGCATGTAAACGCGTCGGTAATGAAATACCACATCATAATTCCTGACCTTGTCCAGAGTGCGTCACCACATGGGCGTCGCGGTGCGCGCACCAACAGCCTCAGCAGTTGCTCCTTTCATGCAATACGATTATTAGATTCAGTACAATGTAACCGGCACGCCGCAACCAGAACGCGAAACTCACGCTCATCCTCAGTCTCCCTATTCTCCGGGATCCCATTCCCCGGCTTCAATCACCCGCCGCCAGGCTTCTGTGCAAAGACTCTCTCCCTGCAATATCAGGTCAAAACCGAACAATACCTCTTGGGAGGAAAGGTGGGACTTACACTCTAATCGTCATTCCATCCTGAAGGATTTCCCTCTCCAGTCGGCTCATCATCTCCTCTCGCGACAGAGAAACTGGCACCAACTCCATGGCTCGCGTCAGGATGCCTTTCATCTGCTCAACCACGCTAACTAGAAGGCAGCGACCCCCGTAAACGGAGATCCCCGTAGTGATTAAGTACCGGTCCCGAGGCCGGCGCAAGACTTTGTAGCCAACGTGCCTCAGCTCACGTTGGCACGATCACCCCGGTAGATGCCAATATCCAAGCCGGCGGCATTCGTGAGGACGGCAAGCATCCGGAACCAATCGATCCACGCGCTGCCGGGACCTATTGGCCCAGGCGGATGGTAGCTCATATCGGAAATATCTATCACGCCTCCAGGTTGCAAACAACGGAATGCTGCCTGCAGTGTCACTGTCCATTGCCCTCTGCGTCTCAGTGTGAGTTAGCGATAATAGCGACATTTCCGAATGAAAGCTGAGGCTGACGACACCGCAAGGCGATAACACCATAGGTGCGAGCGTCAATGGGCGTGGAGGTCATATGCATATGGACGTTCAGGGAGGCAACCGCGAGACTCACCCCCTGGTTGTTCATTTTGAACTTTGGCACCACCTTCACGGCTACCTCGCCAGCATCTCCTTCCAGGTCTCGTGCGCGGTAGACCTGGCTAAAGGCGCCCTTACCGAGGTTCTCGAGTAACTCCCATGGCTCCAGGTCCTGAGTCATCAGGACTTTGCTTTTGCTTTTGATTTCCTCAGCCGCCACTGTCACCATGATGCGGTTGTCCACACGCCTGCTCGTCTTGGTCCAGTATAATGTGCGATAGCCTTCAGTGCGATATGTAAAGCGGCTGGTGGCTGACTGTTGGGCGACCGGTGGGCGACTGGAAGTGAATTCTTGCCTTCCCCAACTTACGTAAACCAGTTTTAATAACTGCAAGATCCTCTCGGTGTCGCAATCAGAAGAGGCACTGCACAGTACTGTTCGGTGATGCCGTCCTCCATCACCCAAGCAAGGGCTTATGAGACGAGGATGCAGGAACGCTTCCCAAGTCGGAGGCTGGCTGACTTGTTTGTCCCGTCAGCCATCATCGCCATAAATTGATTGGGTCGCATCTGTCTAATCCAGAGCACAACCTGTTTTTCTCACACGGAAATAACGATCGCGCCTTAATGGCAATCAAGCAGCACTCTCGTAACCATGACGATGCAATGCTGTCATGATAACGGGCTCACGATGACAGTTCGCTCTTGTCGACGTCATTGTGCTACTCGTTTACTGCCTTACCCTCTACGGATCATCATCATACGTCCCTCCCCCCACTTCCGACGCACCCCCCCATCCGACGCCCCCCAAAATCCACCCCATCAAAAAACAGACCCTGGATCTATCCCTTTTTTCAACAACGCCTCGATGCAACAATAATACAGTCCTCTGGCTCACTAGATAATTCGACGTCGCTGGATTCAGCTGTACTATCGTCTTTTTCACCGGCTTCAACCTGGGCCCTATAGATGCGTTCGATGTCGGCGCTTGCCGTTCCGAGGAGTCGTCCCAAACGTACGCGAGTCTCGCCCACAGCCGCCCAGAGAGAGTTTTAAGAGCCGTTCACATAGCTTATTTCATTCATCAGGATGTGCATATAGAGAATCATCAGACACGGAACGGGGTGGCATGTAGTTGGGGTATACACAGCCTTCACTTGAGTTGAAATAAGACATTGAATAACGTAATCCACAAGCGACCCGCCCACTTTCTTCCCTCTAAACAAATCCTCAATCTTTTCCTTCATTCTCCCACCATTACCTCTTATGGCGCAATCTAAAGAACACGACCTTATCTTAGCGCTAAACGCGCTTCAATCAAACCCGAAATTAAGTGTTCGAAAGGCTGCATCAATCTATAATGTCCCACGTACAACCCTCCGAGACCGACGACGTGGCGTAGAGCGCAAACGTGATACCCGACCACATAACCAGAAATTGACCCCGTACGAAGAGGAGAGCATCGTACGATACGTAATCGACCTAGATTCGCGATCATTTCCGCCGCGACTTAGTGGTGTTCGAGAAATGGCGGATCGACTCCTCCGCGCACGCGACGCGCCGCGCGTCGGAACGAACTGGGCTACAAACTTCGTACGATGACGACCTGAGCTCCGAACGCGTTTTAATCGAAGAATCGACTATCAGAGAGTCCTCTGCGAAGATCCGGACACGTATCGCGCGTGGTTTTTACTCGTACGAAACATAATCGCGAAATACGGGATACACGACGACGATATCTATAACTTCGACGAGACGGGCTTCGCGATGGGTAAGATCTCCGCCGAGACTGTCGTTACAACCTCCGATCGACGCGGCAAGCCAAGAGCCGTACAACAAGGGAATCAGGAATGGGTTACAGTAATCCAGGGTATCGGGTCGTCCGGCAATTCGATCCCGCCGTACATCATCTTCGCAGGCAAGGTCCACCTCGACTCCTGGACGACCGAAAGCCCTCTACCGCCTAACTGGGTAATTACGCTTACTGAAAACGGCTGGACGACGAATGAGAAAGGTCTCGAATGGGTAAAACACTTCGATTTTCATACAAAGAGCCGTACGAAGGGCGCTTACCGGCTCCTTATCCTCGACGGCCACGAGAGCCACCACTCGGTCGATTTCGAGCTATACTGCAAGGACCAGAACATAATTACGCTCTGTATGCCTGCTCATTCGTCGCATAAGCTCCAGCCTCTCGATGTCGGGTGCTTTAGACCTCTTAAAAGGGCGTACGGAAAAGAAATCGAAGGTCTCATGCGGGCGCATATTACCCACATCGCGAAGGAAGACTTCCTCCTAGCCTTTTACAAGGCGTACGACGCTGCAATTACCAAGTCAAATATACAGGCAGGCTTTAGAGCGACTGGCCTAGTACCGTACGACCCGGAATATGTTATTTCGCAGCTAGATGTAAAGCCCCATACGCCAACTCCGCCAAGTTCATCTGCAGGCCTTCCGCCACCTTGGGTCTCGAAGACGCCGAACAACCCAATTGAGGCGGAATCACAGACCGAATACATCAAGAATCGCATTGTACGACATCAGGGCAGCTCTCCAACATCAATAATTGCAAGCCTACGGCAGCTAAATAAAGGAATCGCGATGATGGTGCACGAGCAGACCCTTGTACGCCACGAACTCGCCGAACTTCGAGATGCAAATGACCGCCTTAGCCGCCGTCGCCGTACGAAGAGAAAGCAATTACAGAAAGGAGGGTCCCTTACGATTGATCAGGCAAAGGATTTAAAGTCCCAGATTGACGCGACGGAGCAGTTAAGGGCAGAAACGAGTCAGCATAGTGGCCGTACGAGGAGGACAGAGACGCGCGCGCGACGCTGTGGCGTCTGCGGGGAGCCCGGCCATAATGCGCGTACGTGTCAGAAATTTGAGTCCACCTCTGAAGAAGAGGATTCTGAATAGTTTGAATTAATTTGAGGCGTTGTGATTGATTTCTCTTATATATTGTCGCGTAGGTAGGACGGAAGTGTCCCACTCCCTTGTTTGTCCCACTCCCTTGTGGAGTACGTTACTCAACACTCCATCATTACATTTCGGAGTCACAGATTAGACTCGTCCTACCCTGCATAGACGAGACCTCCTCATAAGAAAAAAAACGCCAGCATTACCACATCCCCCTCCCAGTCGATAATATAGGATACCCTGCTTTCAGCTTTGTACCAGATTTCAATCAATACATACCTCCTCAGTGTTCTCTTTTTCTTCGGGTCAGTCACCGACGTAAGCGCAGTTTCCCTCCACTTTCGGACGGAATCAATGGGGCGCCTCGACTATGACCTGGCTACCACGGATACCCCTAATGCAAGTAATCAATGGACGAAGACGCCATGTGTCTCAGCAGAACTCTGCCATATGAACATCGTGATTGTCCGTTTTTATGCCCTGCCAGGCTTATTAAGCCTCCTTTGCCGACATGCAGGGCTACAATGGTTGTCATAAAAGGCCTTATTCTGCCCAGCTTGAAGCAAGTATGTGCATTGAAAACCTTCCATGGCTGTGATGAGGGGCAAGTACCGCACACTCAATCCAGACGACGGCATTGCACTCAGGGTAAGCCATGGGCCGGATCCGTGACTCGTCGATGGCCTGCAGCTCCTCGGGCCTGCCTATGTCAAACACGTCGCGCCGTGACTGCTTGAATATTTTTGTACCGACACCGGTGGCAGTCTCTTTACGCTTCAGCTTGTTATTGCAGGTGGATGGGTTGTTGTATTGGGACGCTTGGATATGGACCAGAGACCGCACCGAACGCACCCAGCTTCAGTCTGTCACGGGCCGCGTGCCAGATTGCCCTTCGTAGAGGAGCGCAATCGTGCCTAGCACCTTTGCTATGAGTACGCCAATTGGTCGGGGAGGCTACCGACCCTGGCTGTTGCTGGGTAGGCCTGTCAATGACGAGGGTCTCCCTGCAGGCTGTGGGAAGGCGTCCTTTGGCCGCAACAAGGCTACGACACACCTCAACAGTGCTGCCTGAGCCATGGAACCCCAGCACGCAACGTGCACATCGGCAAGAAAACTGCTTTTATTTTTGCCTGGCTAGTGATGTGGCCATGCAAAACTCGCTGGTCGCCCTTGTTACTTTGATACTGATCAGTTACCGCAATACGATCTAAACATTGAGCAATAACGAACCGGCAGCAGCATTGTCGGGCTCGGAGGGTTTACCGAATCCTCAGTGGTAGGCGGCCGATTCTTCATTTTGGCTGCATGACGAGCAAAAGATGGTGCATATTCAGGGGCACAGCCCGAACCCAGCCCCCCTGTAATGCTCGCTGTCACTCGCATTCTTAAACACGCGAATTGCCATCGAAAACGGACTTCTGAAAGTCTGTCGATATCGTCAATCTCCGCAAATTCCGACCCGTGCCTACAGAAGACGGACCAAGAACACGCCAACATGTTTCCCACATTCACCGGCGACTCTCGGCGGCCGCGCAACGTGAACCTCAGCAGACAGCGGCCCTCGAATCCCTGGGGCCCCAGCGGCTGGGGCGCAAACCCAGGCGCATCATCTGGTGCCTCCAAGACGGTTGCCCATGCTCAAGCAGAAAGGGAGAAGCGCCAGAAGAATCGCGAAGAGCTTGTCGCTGCGAAGCGGCTCCAGAGGATATGGAGGGGATGTTGCGCGAGGCAGAAGATTAGAGAAAGTCATCGTCGGGCATTTGACAACGAAATGCAGCGTGCCGGGGGTACCGATCTTGGCCACATCACCAAAACGTTGCCACTGCTGGTGGCTCTTTTTGACCCAAAGCGAGACGACGACCAGAATAGGTTAGATTCATTCGTACACGATCTCACAGCATATAGAGCACGAGATCATCAACTCGGAAGCCTCAACCAGCACTCTCTTGATCGCCTGGTCGGTCTCATCGTCGCTGCCCTTGAAAGGTAAGTCAAATAAGGCTTATCTCGCCTCAGTCTGTTCAACTAACGTACCAAAAGCTACAGAGGACCATTCGCTTCCGCCCGTGCGCTCCTACCCCTTTTATCTGAGCTGGTGACAAAACGGCCTTGGAGTGTTGGCTCAATCCTCGGCCGGTACTATCATGTTGCGGCACGGTACTTTTCAGAGGGCATGGATCCTGCCGAGCAAGCAATGCTCTGCGACGTTGTCCGCGCACCCTTATCTTCCGAGAAAGGTACGTGTTGACATCTCGAATCTTACACTTTATCGAAAGCGTGCACTGACAGGAGCAGCGTCAGATCTAAAATCTGCGTACCATGCGATAGCATTTGACTTCTTGACCTTTGACGGCCTTCCTGTGATCAGACAGAACCCAGAGGTTCTGTCAGCTGTCATAGATCACCGCTTGCTTTCAGATATCATATCCAATGCTATCTTGTCTGGCACATCCGCAAACAAAACATCGAGGGACGGTCAGTTATGGCTCCTAGCACATTTCATCGCGCTCAGCAGAACATCCGCCGGCGGTCAGGATACCATTTACCTGAGAGCTCTTTACCTTCAACTTTCGAGTCTTGCCGTCGATATCCGTTTGCGGTACAACCAGGATGACAGTGGCAATGGCGATCAGGTTTCGGACGACGAGGATCTCAAAATACTTGATCCTGCGTCATCCACATTATCTGATTTCGTTGCCGAGCAGCTTGAGTTTCTCGTCAACGACGATGGCATTAGTGAACTCTTGCGGAGATTCACCACGTGAGTTTAAGCCATCTTATTGGCTTGGGAGATTTCTAGCAGCTGACTTCCTTAACGATCCAGAACGTCATCGCCCAGTGCAGGGCTCTCGGAGGACGCTAATCTGCTCGCTGGCTACACGTTGGCTTTGCTCAAGTGCTTTCCAAACCATGGCGACGATATCAAGATGCGGCTCTTTCATGGCGACATTACGACGAGCGATTCCGGCAAACAGCACACTGTGCCGACCGTGAAGTACTTCTGGCACGCGGCGTCAAGGACCGAGATATTTCGTAAGCTGATGCAAAGCAAGATTACGCATCCTGCCTCAGTTTTAGGTCCCTTGCTGCAGCCGGGATCCAAGCACAATGAGGAGTGGCGCACAATGCTATTATTTCTCGAGCTCTATAACTTTCTGCTGCGTGTCACGGATGACGAGGATTTCCTGCCTTCAACCTTTCAAGCGATGTCTCAGCAGAGCCCGCAAACAGAACGCATTCGATCCAGCGGGCTAGACCAGGAAGAACTCATAGCGCTAACGAGCTTTCTGAAAAATCTCACGTTCCCGTTATATCACGATCTACCAAGCATAATTTCTTCGGCCAAGGAGCCCGCGCGACTTGACCATTTCATGGGGCTACAACCCAAGCCTTTAGCTCAATCTGGATCCTCACAAGAGTCCTTATCTCCCACCTTCGGGAATGACGTTATTGGCCTCCGTCAGATTGCTACCAGCACCATGAGATCACTATACGAGAGGGACTCATGCCGAAAGTTTCTGCCGCAAGACTTCTGGTTGATGACATCAAAGTTCTACATGAACGGGTTTATTTCAGCGGTCGTTCTGGAGGAGCAGCAGAAGAACGACACCACTGAAGAAGACGACGAGGACGAGGATGAGATTGACAGAACCCGATTTCATACTGCAAGTGTCTCGCGCATATCACGGGCTGCCCAGATCGAGCGACATCGGCAACTATGCAGGATGAAGCGCGAGAGGTTACTGGCGCAAGTGACCCCTAAACTCGAGATTCTCAGGAATATGCCCTTTATTATCCCCTTCGAGATTCGAGTGAAGATCTTTCCGACAGTTCATCGCCCTCGACAAGAACCGCAGGCGCGGTGGCTATGAAACACCCGACAGAGAAGAGGTTCTGAGCGATCACACTGCTTATGTGAAGCGTGGCTCCGTCTTTGGCGATGCCTACAACCAGTTTTACAACCTTGGTGAAGGCATCAAAGAGCCTGTACAGATCACGTTTGTTGATCAATTCGACCAGCCAGAGGCTGGTATCGATGGTGGAGGTGTGACCAAGGAGTTTCTCACCAGTGCTGCGGAAGAGGCCTTCGACCCTAGCGAGAACGGACCTGGGTATTTCGTGGCAAACCAGCAGAACTTACTGTATCCCAACCCAAGCGCCTTTGATGAGCGCGCTGTGCTCGTTCATTACACCGGCACCGCCAAGGGATCGCCGGAATGGAACAACGGAATGACTGACCTGCCCAAACGGTACGAGTTCTTGGGCCGGCTGATGGGGAAGTGCATGCACGAGGACATTCTTGTCGATATCTCCTTTGCAAGCTTCTTTCTTCTCAAGTGGGCGTCGTCAGGTCAGCCCTCGCCCACCAGCCACCGGGCGAATCTCAACGATCTTCGGGATATGGATCCAGAGTTGTACCAAGGTCTGATCAGCCTGAAGAACTATCCCGGGGATGTTGCCGATCTCTCACTGGACTTCACCGTAACAGACCAGGTCAGGGACATCCATGGCAAACTCCACCGAACCACACGACCTCTGCGCAAAGAAGGATCGAGCCTGCCCGTCACTAACAGGAACCGGCTCCTCTACATATCATACGTCGTCTACCACCGCCTGGTTGCCCAGCCATACCGCCAGACAAAAGCGTTCCTGCGTGGTCTGGGCACCATCATCAAGCCTCATTGGCTGTCCATGTTCAACCAGTCGGAGCTGCAGCGCCTCATCGGCGGCGACAGCACCGAAATTGACATCGAGGACCTGCGCCGCAATACGCGATGTGCGGGCTCGTACACCATTGGTGACGACAACGTCGTGCACCGGACCGTGAATTTTTTCTGGCAAGTCATGCACTCATTCAACGACTCTCAGCGACGCGAAGTTTTGAAGTTCGTCACCTCGACGCCGCGTGCCCCGCTGCTCGGCTTTGCCCAGCTCAGTCCCCCGTTCACCATCAGCGACGACGGCATCGACGAAGGGAAGCTGCCCAGTGCGAGCACATGTGGCAATCTGCTCAAGTTGCCTCCGTACAGCTCCAGTGAGACACTCCGGAGCAAGCTTTTGTACGCAATCCAGTCTCGGGCTGGATTTGACCTGAGCTAAGCGGTGCTCCTGCAAACTTCATGGTGTCCATAGTAATCGTTGTTTCCGACGGTATGTACGATGGGCAAAGTGGGTGGGACTTTTGAGCCATTGGGTTGGGGGATCTGCGTTGCATTCTAGACAGTCTCTCACCTTGCAATGCATCGGTCCAGGCGCGCATGTACGCCTTTATGGTGCTGGTTTCGGTCTCGCTCTGCATTACATAATCTCTAGACCTTGTTTTAATCTCTAGTCAGTTTTTCACCAAGCATGGATTGCTCTCAGTTAGCAGTACATCTTCGCCCTGTTCCTTGCCACCGGGTATCTAGTCCCCCAAATCTTAACCTGTCGGACCTTTCGCTAACCTTCGCGTGACCCCGTTTCCTACCAGGTCTCGGAACTCAACTGGCACTCGCCTACGCCATCCACAAGAGCTTCATCTTTCTCCGCGTGCCCCTGACTGCGGCTGTAACGCCAAAGGTGGTCAAGAAGCTAAGATCGTGGGGTTGGAACATTGGCAAACGGCGGAGCATGCCGACGGCCACAACTCCCACACCCAAGGCGTGAGGTGGACCAGCACAACATGGCACTTGTGGCTGGGAGTGTCTTGACCAAGCTCGTCCGCTTAAGGAGTGGTGCGGCTGACCGAGCAGGAGAAAAAGTCGGTGGTGGCCGCGTGGTGGGCTCTGGTGCCGCATGGGTGCCTGCCGTTGTAAGCGCCGCGTGGCGCCAGCTCGCTAAAGTGCGTGCCTGACTAGAAGGCCGCGATTCAAGCCATCAGAAGCCGTCGGCCGTGTTACCCACCTTCGTTCGGAGCAAGCCAGCGCCGCCCACAGCTCGGCCGTCAGTTTCTTTTGGATCGAGCGGCGTTCGTGTGTCAAAGTTGTAGTAGTAGTGTAAATCTCTCTCCTTTATAGCGCATCATCACCATAGATTAAACTCGCTTGCATGTCCCCACCTTCGGAGCCAAAGAAGGCCCAAAGCTTCGATTTCGTGTAAAAGCCCCTTCAGGGCATAGCAGGACTTGCTCCGAGACAAAAAGGTGAGAGTTTCAACCCACATCCAACCGGAAAGAAGAGGCAACGACGCCAGACCAGGCCGAACTGACTAATTGCCGTTTCCAGTAACACAGCCCACGAATACGCAAACTTTCCGCGCCCAGCTTTACCTTCAGCTCGTAATAACTGCCTTGTGCCTCAGCCCGCGCCCCCCCACCCCCTCCTTCTCCATTCTCGCGCGCGGGTGCTCAGTAAGCCTACATACGAACGCTGGGGCCGCATCATCTCTTTCTTCTTCGGGGGGAGTCCTGTTTTTCGACTTTTTCCACGTGGCCCACGCACCGAGTGAGGGAAACTGGGGCGGGCGGCGTTGTGTGTGCGCGTGGCGTCAGGTCACGGACACAAGGCCCGGCGGCCGGGTTTTGGGGGGTTTCAGGGTCAAAGTCAGGTCAAGCTCCTTCTCGGGGCTTCTCCTTCTTGGCGGCCGCGGCGGCGGCGGGGGGCTGTGTGTGTGTGTGTGTGTGTGTGTGTTTGTGTTTGTGTGACTGTGCCTCTTTTCTTCCCGCAACCTTGTAAGCCTTGGTCGGCTCGGTGCCGATTCCGTCGTGTGTGTGCGTGAGTTGTGTCTGTGTGTGTATGGTTTGCGAGCGGTGTTATTCAGGTTCCTGCCTGCCTGACGTGTCATGTTTACTAATGTGTGACCGGCTGGGAACGAGGTGGTTGTCGTCGCCCCGTCCCGAGAACCCAGCCCCTGTCCTGCATGACCCCGCTCGGTCAGGGCTGACGACCTGTGTCCTGTCCTGGTGTGTGTGTGTGTGTGTGTGTGTGTGTGTGTGCGCTGCCTGCCTGCTGCTGCGGGCTACGTATGTGCTACGTAGGTGTGTGTGTGAAATTTAAAGTTTTGTGCCTGAACCTATCATATTCCCGAGTCGGTTCTGAAGCCGAACGACCGACCGAAGCGGGACGGGGAGGCGACCGGGGCACGGAGAGCCGGCAGGTGGGGGCAACGGCGACGGCGGCTGCGGGGGGGGAGGAGAGTGGGCAAGGCAGGCAGGCAGCATGGCATGTGGCACGGGGGAAATGGGAAGTGCGGAAATATCGACGGATATGTGGCTGGAGCGAGTTGGTCCGAGAGCCCTCAAGAGCCGCAGGGAATTCATGGTCAAACTCGGGAGACGGCCGAGGACCCAGGCAGATAGCGGGGAAAGTGGTGGCGGTTTCTTTGGAGAAGGGGGCATTCACTTGGCAAAACTCGTTTGCCTCGCTGCCGCCGCGCTGGTGAGCCCGGGAGGCCTGGCAGATTGAGAGGCAGGATGGGACAGGGGACCCAATGGACTCCTAAGGAATTAGGGTTTGTGGCGGCAAGGGGAAAAAGAGGATGACGGGCAAAACGACACAGGATTTGGAAATATGGTTTGGTTACCCCCTGCCTTGCCCCAAGTCCCTGGTCCCAAAGGGGCGAATAAGCTGGACAGGCAGGGTCAAGGGGGTCGGCGAGTAAAAGAGCAAGCAGTTTGGTGGGTGTGCGCAAGCAGCTGTGGACCACGAGTTGCTGGGGGACAAGAGCCGGCAATCCTGGTCTGCGGTACGGAGTGGTTGGCCGGGGCCAGGGTTCCAGAGCACGGATCATTGGCCGTTGTGGCTTGGGGGACCTCGCTTCATTATGGAGACGCCCCCCCTATGTTCCTAGAGGTGTGACGACGTTGGAAGACCGATTACGACTGTAGCATGCAAGCTGGCGAAGCGAACAAATAATACACTTGCACGACTTGGCAATACTGGCCACCCGGTGAGTCCTTCCCAGTGCCTCCTTGCGGATGCGCAGCCGTCCGCAACCACAGGCGGGAACATTGCGGCAAATCGTCGGGACTGAACGGTTTGGAAGCCAGCTCTGGCGCAGGGGGGCGTGCGTATGCTTTGGCCTTGGATTCACTCGCCCTGTCCCACACCCATACCTATCGGATCGTGACATCCGAGTCACGTAAATGAAGAAAGCTTGGCTACCGAGTCACGTTCGTTAGCTCCGCCAGCGAACAGATGGCCATGGCAACGCACGGGCGCCTGGACGGACTCCGTATGTCCAGATATCGTGGTGACCGCGGAGTAAAGAAGCAGCCGGGAGAGTGTTAACCCCGTGGCTCCCCGTGCACAGTTTGATAGCAGAGTGACATTCTTTGTAGATCTCGGCCCAGGCCGCTCCACCGACAGACAGGAAAGACTCCAGTGTCGCCTGGTATGCTCCTGCTCGGCGGGACGGCCCACTCGAACAGCCGCAATGACACATTCATGACAAGCAGATTTGGGTATTTCCTGGCTGGTGACTGTGCCGTCCTACTGGCTGAGACATGTTGCTCCGGGTAATCTGGCAGCTGGCTTGATCCGTGAGGGTGTGGCTTTGTGCATCCGTGCTAGGCGAGCTTCTAGACGATTTTGGTCACGGCCGCCGCAGGACCTGAGACCGTTAAAGGCCGTACTTCGCACGTGGCGTGGCGAGATGAATCTCCGCTCCTGCTTGGCGCCCTGTATGTCACAAACGTCTCGAGACGCACGCCGGCGAAAGTCAAAGGAAATTTGACAACAGCCGACGGAGGCTTCGGTTGGCAGTGGCGGCGGTTCACGCGACACGGACTCGCGGTGGCAGCCAGGCCGGGGCCACATGGTGTATGTAGTGAAAGGTCCCTCGGGGACGCCCCACCACGTACGTTACGGAGCCCTTCTGTGCGTGCGCTTGCTCGGCCTCGAAAAGTCGTAGGTGAAGCGCGAGCACGCAATCTGCCCGTCAAGGCGCAACACTGGAACTGGAACCAGACGGATGGCTCCGCTCACAATGCGGAGGAGCCTCTTTACCGGCGTAAGCGCACCCCTCTCTCTGCATCCATCCGCTGGCGGGGCTCTGTCGCCAGCTCAGAAAGGCTGAAGCCCGGACAGGGGCCAGGGAGCACCTGTGCCGGCGCCGGGAGCAAGGAGCAAGGGAAATTCTCCGGGTGGCAAGGAGCCCCAACAAATGTGCTTTTTTGTCTGATCGCAGCTAGCTTGCACCGCAGCGGATACAGTAGTAGCAGCAGCACACTCCCAGACACGCCCTGCGGGGACAGAACCCCCCCCCCCCCAACAAACAGCTCAGCCTCTTGCATCGCGGCACAACGAGTTTCTTGCATCGCTCGCATACCTTGCTTGCATGCCCTGCGCACCTCGCGCCTCACCTGCGCGGCCGAGACAGCACCGCAAGCAAATGGGTTGCGCATCAACTTGCCACCAAGAGTCGCGCAGTTTCGAGTGCTCAGCTAGCTCCACTGCATTACCGTTCAGGTGCTGGCAGTGCCGTGCGAGGAGATGCTGCATGCCTCTGGCCCCTTGCGTGCCCACGATGCTGTTACAGCCTGTGCGCAACACCCTTGCGTTCAGGGCGCCCGGAGGAGGTCTCGGACCAGCTGACGGCCAGCAATGCGCTTGGATCAACGGCCCGTGTCTGGACGATCAGCCTCACCTTGCCAGTACAGTACAAAGCATAACTTTGACTCGAGGTTCAGCAGCAGGATCGGGGTGCCGATGGGCGCGCCTCTCTGGATAGCAGCAGACGAAGGCGGCAAAGCTGTCGGCCAAGCAAGGGTGGCAGGGATGAGCTGTGGATTATTCCCAAAGATCGACAGCCATGCGCCTGCGGGAATCTGCAGCTCTGACAAGCGCCAACGTGCATGCCCTTTGTGTCAACAACAAGCCTGGTGCTTGTTTTCAGGATCGCTCTTGTCGTGTGCATAACCACAATGTTTTCGTCAAGCAAGGTCCGCCATTCTCAGCCGTCATGCCAAGTCGATGATTTCAGGATTGTTGTCTGCCGACTCCGCCGACGGTTTCTGCCAGTGGTTGGTTCAGCAGAGGATCCCTGAAAGTCAAATGTCTTCGAACACACTTGTCATGTAACCCCACCCTTACTAGTGTAGCTGCGCCGTGAAACGAGTCACGATTCCGGACCCTGCTCTGTGCTGGCCGGAGGGCTTGCCTGATTAGGAAGCGACAACCCAATAAGGTTTCCAGCTATTGGGACCTCAGTTGTCAACCAAGCAGGGGCGCCATACAGCAGATCCGTGCGTGACACGACCCCTGCCACTGATCAATGGGGATTTGCACACGAGCAACCGAGACGCGTGCAGCGGGCTCGATGAAGCCCATCACCGACATCGTGGTTCTTCAAAGCCAGTCGAGCACCAGGCCCCTTGTGCACACCATTACTCGACATACCGACTTCGACATGGGTCTGCCGGAAATAACGCCGTGGCGTGCCAAACGCCGGCTTTAACAGTTGCTTGCCATTCCCGGATTGTCCCTTGGGTCGCACCAGCCCTGAACTCCTCCGTACTGTGGTGCTCCGAGTTGGGTCGCCGCTTCATGCCGATCTCGAATCCTGACCACAAGGAGAACGCCTTGCAGACATTGCAGGCTGGCAGTACAAGCTGGTTCATGCGCTAAGAGGCTGAATGGCCATGCGGTCTGGAGGTGGCCGCTTGGGGGGAAGGGGGCAAGTATCATTGTGGGCCGTACGAAAACCGGTCATAGTGACGGTAGCGGCTCGTCCTCGCGGAGGACCATGGAATATGTCCAGCACCAGTCTATAGTCGGGGAGTATTGTGCCATAGACCGCTTTACAGGCGGGACGCTAGAAGCTGGATATTAATGCGAGCTTGACAGCTAGGCGACTAGCGTGACGAGCCGCGGTGTCAGGTTTGTATGCAAGCATTACCCAGCTTGGTTTAGCGTTGCCGTGTTGCGCATGGGCAAATGAGGAGGCACCTATTCCTGTATGGGTTTGCTGTCCCACATCCGGAGTAATGCGTTGCTTTTCCAGTCAGCACGTCAGCAAAGTTAGTGCATGCGCGGGCGCAAGGGGTAAACGGTGGTCAGATCGCCTGTATCATGGTGACCGTCCCCAAAGACAGTCTCTCCAATTTCACACAACCTGATGATGTCCCGCCTCGTATGTCGAGTGTGCTTTCCTTTCGTAACAAGCACTTGCACCTGTCACTGAGCGGGGCCAATCTGTTCTCGTCATGCGTCGGGCTGTGCTGAGAAGTGGTTGCACGCACATTGCATATTTAACTTGGTGCTGTATATTTGAACTGGGACTGCCGCCCCCCCCCAAAGGAGGTTAGCCACACTGAATTAAGGTTTGATTGGGGTCTTGGCGATGACGAGGTTGGTCAGCCCAGCGTTTTCAATCGGCGGCGGCCTGACCAGGTACGGATTTGGAGTGCCCTGCCAGAGGGAGGCCCTGGAGGACCCTCGAGCAGAGCAGCGGCCTGGCGCGCCGCAAAGTCACTGTGCCATCTGGTTTGGGGTATTCCAAGTATAGCAACCTTGACATAGTTGGCGCGCAACTATGAATCATTTGCCTGCTGATGTCGTATCACGAGCCACTCCGGCTCTTTGTTCTCTGGAGCTAGAGTTTGTGCTTACCTGCTGACCGATATTCCCGTCCCCGGTGCAATCCGTCGGAACGGGTGTCGGCGTCAGTTGAATTTGACGATTTTCTTCCCAACGGGTTTCGTGTCTCAGACTGATGCCACGACAGTGTGGCACTGCTATCCGAGGCTGGTGACTGATGACTTCTGCGAGGCATGAATTTTCGTGGCCGCATCAGATGTGTCCCTCAGTCTCAGTGCCTGGAGCGGGAGGCCAAGCCGTTGGCTCCTCTGAACCTTTGCCACGACCTGCCCGCGTCTTGTCTGGGTCTTCTTGAGATTGGCCCCTGGAGCACGATTCTCATTGGGTCCCATACGCGGTGATCGGGCCAAAAGCAAGGGGCAGGTGTGCACCGACAGGGGATGTCGCATTGAACGGTTGTTGACAACGAAGATCAAGTCCGAAACTGGCAACAACGTTTGATCGTGCATTCATCATGCTCATCCCAAGCTCACTGGCTGCGCCGTGGCCATGCCGAGCTCGCCAACAGCGTGGCAGCGGCAACAAATCAGAACGGCTTGCGAAGGACCAAGGTTTACTGGGGATCCCTGCCGTGGCGCGCACATCTGGCACATTCCGGTTGTCAGGCTGCGCGGGCTGCTCTGTCGCGACCCGAATCTGTCTGAAGGGTTCAGAGGACGGGGATTAAAGACCCTTGACCACCCGGAAGCACACTGCCAGGGGCCCGGGCGATCGTCACGTATCATCCTGCCGAGTACAAACCCAGAAGCCGTTTCTCAGCTCCTGAAACTCCTCTCTTGTCGCCCAAGCATATCAAAGTGGCAAAAGACCTTCCCAGACTTCTCAGTTCCTCAGTTATTCAAAATTCCATACCAGGATCTCTGGAGATCTTGTCCACTAGTGCAATACAGCGGCACATACATAATCTCGATCACTCAAGGACCCAAGCCCATTACCGCCCCTGGACACCACTCTTACACAGTCAACCCTCCAGGCATCTGGCCTCCCACCTATTTAACACAACGACGACCCGGTGTTCCCACCAGCAAGCCTCCCAAATGACCATGCTCATCGTCAACGCCCAGGACCTTCCTCGCCAGTCCTCCTACTCCAACTTGCTCACCATGACAACTCATCACACCTCAACCACCATGCCCATGTTGGACCTTTTCAGCACGCATGGAACAGAGCAACTCGCGCCCATCCAGGACAACACCGAAGTTGCCCAGGCTCTAGAGATTGCTCGTGAGAGCCCCGAAGGGGCCAAGGACCCCGTCGTGAGCAACATTCTCGAGTCTGCACTACACTCCCTTTGGGCCAAGGTCGTGGCTCAGCCGGTCAGTTATGTCATGACGAGGGACGAATTTGCCGTCTTCAACTACTTCCAGCACCGGTTTCAAGGCAACAAGCTCGCCGTAGCTGCTAGGAGACGATACTGGGACAACATTTCCTGCTCTTGAAGAAACAGAGGCATGGCCGGCACCAGGCGCACACCCTCGCCCCCCTGTGACGCCTTCTTGTCTTATCTTGTCTTCACGAAGCATCCTTAGGCGTCGTGTTCTTCTGTATAATGCAGGATCACGAGGGCCGCAACCTGTCTTCTCCGCTCCATTTGGCTTTCATGCACTGCCAGACTGCATTCATCGGCGTTGTTTGCTCATCACCACCTCTTCTTCAGCCGTCTTCACTACACCCTCGCAATACTATAGACATAGAGGCATTTCGTCGCCGCACCCTAGTGCCTCACAACCACTGCTAGTATCCCGCGACGAGTCGACTGTACACCGTCCATCTCACCACTACCCCCTTTGAGAGATTCTGCGTCGAGTTACAGCCAGGGGTTGGGTCGCTCTCCGTCCGCCTTTGCCAAGTGCAACAGGGTCGGCCTGTGCCGCATGTCTGGGAGGCACAACCGCGCACTGCCCTGGACCGGGACAGACGCTCCGCGTGCAGCCAGGGGGCAGTACGCAGGTCCCTCCCCGTCCCAACAAACACGACGCAGCGCTCTTCCACACTCCACAACCTCTGGTGATTGTATCATCCTCTCTGCATTACAGCACACACCCCGGTCTTCACTCCGTTGGAATAGCACACCGCCCTCAGAGAGAGCCACACTTACCCTAGGCGCTTGTCACCACTCCCTGCGCCACCACGACGCTCCAAGATGGACAAGCAATTCTCGATGCCCGCCCCAGGTTACCTTAGGCGCAATCGCAGTCAGTTTCGGTCACTACAGATCGGCTGGCCTACAGCCATGTCCCTTCTGACATGCGCTGCGGCGCTTGCGGTCTGGTACGGGGTGTCGCATCCGCCGGAACTAGCCGGATATCGCCCGACAGCGGCGGACCACGGTGTATTCGCACTGCCTGCGACAGGGCTCTCACCAGATGGTACAGTCCTGGAGTGCTTCCAGGTCGCACAGCCCATCATAGTAACAGGTCACCAGGTCGACCACTCGGGGCCCTGTCCCCAAGATTGGGACGACCCTGCTCCGTGGAACACCGTGGCCACTCGAGACGATCCTGTGGCGCGCCCCTGTCATTCCGCAATTTTGATGGACCATGTTTTCGCGTGGAGTTATGGGAGGCCATACGTTGGTATATTGGAGCATAGCAGAGAACCTCATGGGCAGCGGGGACTCTCTGACTCTTATGATCGGAAATTATACCCCGCCTAGTTGCCAGTTCAATCGAGTAATCATGACCTTCACCGTACAGTCTGCGGGCCGCCAGTTTGACCGGCTTGCGCTGATGTTCTTCGGCGACACTGAAGTCTGGCGTACCCCAACTGCGGAACCCGTGAAACCCCCAGGCATTCGATGGACAGTGACCAAGGATATGTCCCACTTCTTCTACTTCTGGAAGTCCCCCCAAAGAATCATATTTGATCTGGGCAATTTGGTCGATGAGAAATACACGGGCACGTTCAATACGACATTGACTGCGTCATTCTACCGAGTTATCCCGTCAGACTTCCAAAATGCCGAGCCAGCCGACCTGATTGTGCCGATATCCTCTCGGAAAGGTTCACAGGGTCTGCCAAGTCATTTCGTCTTGCCTGGAGACCAAGCATCGAACTCTGTCTCACTCCCCAGGAATATCAACCGAGCCGTGTTGACGGTCTCGGCGAATGGACAGGCTGCGGAAGAGTTCTGGTGGAGCAATGTACTCGAGTCGGACAAGATGACTTTCGCCAAAACATATGGTGCATACCCTGGTCGATCTCCGTTCCGTGAAGTCCAAGTGCTCGTTGACGGTCACCTCGCTGGTGTGAGCTGGCCATTTCCCGTCATCTTCACCGGTGGGGTCACGCCCAGTTTACACCGGCCAATCGTCGGACTACAGGCTTTTGACTTGCGAGAGCACCAGATCGACATTTCGCCATGGCTGCCACTACTGTGTGATGGCCACGAGCATGAGTTTGCAATCCGTGTCATGGGGGTCACAGACAATGGCGTTGACGGAGGTGTCTTAAGCGACAGCATCAACGATAGTTGGTACGTCACTGGAAAGGTGTTCCTATGGCTGGATGATGATGGCCGGTCAGTCACCACCGGCTCTGTCTCAACGTCTGCTCTCAAGCCTCTTGCTAGTCAGAAACCCGTCATCCATCTGTCACGCGCCATAAGTCGGAATGAGACGGGCTTCAACGAGACACTATCGTTTGAGGTCACTGAGGAGATTACTAGATATCAGCGCCACTGTACGGTCGCAACGTCGACACAGCCACGTGCGATGGACACAGAAGCTCGAGTACACGAATGCCGCGCTAGTCAAAGACTTTGGGTTCAACCAGGTCAATGACTTCAGAGTGACGGGCCTGGACGAGGCTCGCGGACTCGACCAAGACAAGTCCTTCGAAACATTTTACGAGTACCCCCTGCATTGCAACCAAAGCATCAGGTTCGATAGTTCCGGCGACATGACAATACAATCGACTCTAGTGGAAGGTCTCCAGCTCAAGATTCGGGGGTCCAGCGTGCTTCCAATGGGAACTGAAGGCTATGGTGGGCCGCATCATGAAAGCCAGACGCAAGCAGCACACCTGCAGACATTGAGAGAGGGCCAGGGCGAGTTCTTCGCGCCTGCTGGCGGAAAGGCCAGCTCTGGATTTGGCTCTACCAATCAGCTGTTTTACTTCGGAAGTCTGCTGACCTTGCCTGGCCAGTCGCTCGAGCGCGCTGGCAAGAGCCGGGAACTCTATTTCCGGAACGTGACTGCAGTGAACGGCAGCATCGTGGCAGACGAGGAGAGAAGTGTAGCATCAGCCTGCCACAATATTGTTCAGCTGCCGCAGCCACCCGCAGGCAATAGTCAGGATTGTGGTGGGGATGAAGGCGTGATACGAGTTGAAGGGGAGCATCCCCCTTCGACAGCTGCATCCGGATCGTGGTTTGAGTTCGCAGAACCCCTGGCGCACAGACAACACTTTGGCCGGCTCCAGCTTGTTCAGCCATCTTGTGGGAATACTGATTGCGAGGCGGCAACGGCCACGGCCAGGGGTAGCACATCGATAGGCCCGCAGCTGCTGCTGCAGCAGCAGCCGCTGCACAACCATTGAGCATCGTATGGCACGGCTATTGGTAGACCTGCGTGCGCCTCTGGAATAAGGTTTAGTGTAGTCTTGGTATATTGGGGAATATGCTTCTTGGCAACGGCAAAACCGCGTACACCACCTTTTTCGGTAGACACCTGCTCGCCGGCATTCCTGAAATTGATGCTGTCCTGAAATTGATGCTGCAAGAGACCAAGAGGTCCGCGCCGAGACCAGAAGGGAGTTCATTGCCACGCCCAGTTTCATCATCACCATGCTATTCTCAGTGCCAGAGTGGCTCTGTTACCCTCAGCGCCAGTTTCTCCTGACAGGGGTCGTCGATCCTGACGTCAATCGTCGGGGAGGTTGCTCCAACCGAGCAGGGTGTTCTTTACCACAAACCCCATGGAATACAGGCATCTGACTGCGGCAGCGGCAATGCCAATTTCGCACGACAGGGTTCGTGTGTTGGGGGGATCGGCAACTTTGTACCGTGTCTGCTTCAGCCGAAAAATCCCTTTGCACGTCAGAGCACGGCGCGACTTCGAACCACTCAATGCCGAGTACTAACGCACAACCTACAAGTGCCGGGCGGCCTGGAAACGGCGCAGATATTCCAAACTCTACACGGCAAAGCTCACTGGACAAACCACTGTAGCTTTAGAGCCAATGCGCCGGGCGTGCCCTCTCTCTCTCTCTCCTGAACTCACGAGTGTGTGTGTGTTCATGTCTTCCAAGGCAGGGGGTGTTCTGTGAAGTCTGCGCCGCCCGCCCGGCCGCCCCGTGGTAAAGCTGTTTGTTTGGAGCTCATTTCCTCTTTTAGACTTTTTCTTGGCATGCATGCTTCCCATGCGATAACTTTGTCCCCCTCGCTTGTTCGCTCCCTTTCGTGTGTGGGGGAACCAGATTTGTTTGGGGGGGGGGGGGGGGGGGGGGGCCAAGGACGTCACGCACACACACACACCCACACACATACACACTCTCTCCGTCAACTTAAGGTTCCGCGGCTTCGCGAACATCGCAAAAGCCAAGCAAAGTAACGCCCGGGAAAACATTAAATATTTCGACAAGCCGCGGCTTCCCACGTGTCTTGGCAAAAGAGACAGGCGCGCAGAGAGCTGAAGTACGGACCGCCGTTTCCAGTTTCTTTCTTTCTTTTTTTCTTTTTTCTTGTCGTTGTTGCTGTTGTTGTCTGTCCTTGAGCGGACAGGTTGTCAGTCGTTGCTCGTCTCTTTGTTACTACTACGTGGGGGGCGAAACTTTGTGGTGCTTTTGTGACGCATGCAATTACTGAGAGTCTGGCTAGGTACCTGCCCACCTGGACGAGCAATTGCCCGTCAATGCAGCAGCTGTGTGTGTAATTGGTCTCACTACTCTATGCAAGGGGTGCCGAGCATGCGAATCTTAAAGTATGGGCATTTCGGACGATCAGCACGCCATCGATACGAGAACGAAAAAAAAAAAAAAAAAAAAAGGGTCTGCCGAGCCTGCTTATATGTGATAGATCTGCGCCTTAATATCCAAACTGGGTGAGTCAGGCCGAAATCTTGTTTTCTTGGTCTCCTGTCGGCTGTTTTGCCTGGTCGGGGGAAGAAAAAAAAGTGCGTGTGTGTGTATGTGCTGTCGAACATGCTCCTTGGTTGAAAACAAGCGTCTGATGATTGCACATGGACGAGATGCCCCCGTGGGACGGCCTGTCGCGGTTGCGAAACCATGACGCAAGCCACGGGTCATACGGGAGACAATGACCAAACGTTGCCGTGGCACATCACACTCTCGGCTGTGCAGGCATTCTGCTCCTTCGTCTTTGTGGCCGGTCGCCTCGCTACGGTCTCTTAGGCTGAGGCTTAAAAATAATACACTCGGGGACCGTCGTCGTCTCTAGTCAGAGAACAGCGAGCCATTTTCAAATCCTGGGGTTACCGGCGGAAGTTTGACCCACCAGTCATGATCGGGGGAAGCTTTACTAACCCCCTTCAGGCACTCCGTAAGGGGCTAAAGATGGGCGGAGTGAATGCTATGGCCGGCAATGTTCACGGTGAGCACAACGTCTTCAAGAACCAGGTCAATATCGCTTTCGACATAGAATCTGCGAACAGGTTCTTCCAAGAGGTCGAGAAGAAGGGGATCCCCCACGCTGCTGGTGCCTACGGAAATGGTCAAGCCCGAGCTTTGGAGGATCACAGAGAGCGATCTAGAGCAGATCTTTAACGGCAACCGAACATTGAAAGAGCGCGTGACAAGGTTCACAAAAGAATCTGGCTCCCTGTCGGATGAAGTCCTGTACGACTGGGTCGCTTTCCTCATCCCCTACTTGAATCTTGAGTTAGAGACTAAGGTGGTGAAGCCGTTTTTCGCGAAGGAGGTGATAGTCGAGGAAATGTCCATGGACCAAAAAGAAGGCACGGCCAAGATGATGGTCGTCCCGAAGGTGGAGGAAATCGACAACCCGGTGCTCACGGGGATTCCCGACGTGATGCTCCGGTTCAAGCCAGTCGAGGGCGACGGCGACGGCAGCCATCGCTATCTCAGAATGTACTGGCACGAGCCTGGTCCGGACAAGAGCATTGTCGACGAGTTCCATAGGTTGATGACGGCAGAGATGTGGAAGGATCTAAATCCGGTATGTGTGGCAAACAATACTTAGGTATTTATTCAGCATAACTTAGTCGAATCGGAATCTGGGATTTCATCTACCTTTGACATTGAAGATGGGTGGGGTCATACCTCGATTATCCGAAACTTGTAGATCTTACGTGCGCTGCTGCTCCCGCCAGGGTGCGCCACTTGAAGGCATCACCCATCAGAATAAGGATGCTAGGTAACGGAGCTACATCCAAGGCTTGCTTGCACTGAGTCATGTGCGAATTAGTGGTCTACCATGGTGTAAACTGACAACAACGATGCGAAATCTCGCCCTGTATGCACCGATGATCTGAGCCTTCAAGTCTCATCTGAAGATCCGACTGAAGTCAGAGGCCTGAAGCGGTCCATTTCTGGTGACAAATATCATATGTGGCGCCGGGGAAGTTGATGGATGCCATGCCATTCGTTGATCTGGGCCTCACAACATTTGCATACAGCAGCTCACCGCCTTTGTTGGGCGTGCAACTCAGCTGAGGTGCAACATTCGCTGTCTGCCTTATGATGGGTGAGAAGGGACCGACTGCAGCCGCGAACCCCGGTCCAATGATAGATCTCTGCCTGTCAGCCTGAGACTGTCACCGAATTTGATCGGTAAAGCAGCCCGCGCGAGAAGTGGGCCACAGCATCCAAGTTTTATGTCAAGGATGGAATCACCGCCCAGCGAAGAGATTACGGAATGAAATGCAATATCCGAATCGATGACATGCAAATTCCTAGATTATTAGCAGCGATTGAAAGTTACAGCTATTGTGCGCTTTGGTAGCCGTGACAAAAGCGACCTGACGGGTTTTGTCAAATACCAGAAGATCGCTGCGAGCGCCAAGGTTAGCTACGGGGGCTTGTGGCCGTTCGGGCGGTTGGGCTTTAATCCTCAGGCAGAAACCCCAGCGACAAGGCAACTCTTGCATACTAGGACGGGACAATTTTGGTTCGCAAACCATTTAGTTGGGAAACAATTCTCTTGCGTCCTGTGTCCCGTGTAGGCAACCAGCCGACGGTCCCTGCCTGACACAGCCACAGCTGCCTGCATCATAGTAGCACATAGTCGTGCTCCGATCCAGCCTTGCCACCCTGCCCATCAATGGAGAGATCGACAGTGTGCAATCTCAAGGTCTCCATGGGTGCGCATATATAAAGACATCTCCGTATATGATTCTGGCTCGACCTTCTATGTAGTGCACTGAAGAAAAGAAAAAAAAAAGAATTCGACGAAGCAGACCCTTGGAGCCTTTTCAGCCGAGGCTGTCTACACGGACAAGACCCACGTCGACTTTCCACAAATCCCCGTCAGCGCTATGTGCGAAACCTACGTCCCCAGCAAGATCTTTGCGAACAGCCAAGAGTTCTATAGCCTCTCTTGCGTTGTGTTTATAGGCCACAACGCTACCGTCGTTGATGAGCTCTACGGGAAGCGCCTACGAGCCGCGCAGACTTACCATACGTCACCTTCTGGGCCGCCCTACTCTCATGGCGGCTCGAATTCGCGGAGCTCTGTCAAGAGCGACTCTCGAATTTACGATTACGGGAATGGTAGAATTTTTGACATCCCAAAAGGTCGGCCAGATCAGCTCTTGCAGCGCCGCAGGTCCTTTGTTAGATTTGAGGACGCCAACTCCTCTCCGCGGCAGCAATCCGCCATCTATCACCCAGCTCCTCCCAGCCCTTACTCGAAGCACTCCAAGCGACCGGGTCGCGGAATCCTAAAAGACGTCAACACGCCCCGCCCCTCGCGGGCGTCTGAGGCTGACGACGAGGAACCTGACCTTTGCAGACAAGAACGATATGGCGCGTCACGCCGACAGAATGACATCGGCCGTCCCAGAGGAGTCATCGGCAGCCGGCCTATCCACGTCGCTGAGGGCGACTTCATGCCCAGCAACAACCAATCTCGTTATCGGCGGCCCGGTTTGGCAGATCCTTCCGAGCTGGTCATAAGCGTGCGTGCGTTAGGAATCCAGGACGAACGACGACAGGACAAACGCGAGCGCCATATCGAACACGAGCCACATCAACGCCTGTGTGACCGAATTCACTTAGGCCAATCCGGCTTCCGCTACGTTGTCCCCGCCACTAACCGCAAACCTCTTCATCCCTTTCAAGCATGAGAAACAGAGATTATCTGTCGTTGGAATAGGGGCGATAGGCAGAGCGACAAGATTTCCGGGAAAAGTCGGACAGTTATTATGGCCACTCGATATAATGCCTCTTGTAATGCCATAGGCACATGCCTATGTAGTTAGTAGGGGCCTGAAATCTCGCATAGACTATGACGTAAGAGAAACAACAATCTGTGCTTACGTGACCATCACACCCAGCCCTTTTCCAGAATCACTCATTCAACAACGAGGACAATACGACTCCCGTGAAATGGAAGATGAGCTTTGGCCGAAAGCCTTTCCCACGTAGTAGTCTTCTCTCCTCCTTCGACGGTGACGTAGCCCCTCGCGGCATCAACCACTCTAATTAACCGAGCAGGAACTTTTAAAGAGGGCGCGCACCGTCTGAGGGGAGGCGCGGAGCCGGAGATACTCTTCGTTGTCTACTTAGCAAGACCGGCTCAGCCGCCCGACGACCATCCCCGCAGGCTGGAAGTGGCAGGAAAATCGGGCGGTGGTTGTGCTGCAGGGGACTCAAGTGATACTCTTAAAATGCTGCATTTGCACCGGATATCTACATTAGTGCTCTCATGTACTTGGTTGGTGCGGAAGGTGCGGTTCTGCCTGATGTACGGTGTTTGGGGGTGCTCGCGTTGCCTTGCTCTTCGTGCACCGTTCAGCTCAGTGACCCACAAAATGACACGAGATGCCGGCGCCACGCCGCTTGACTCAACGCACGATTACGGAGCATTGCCCCGCGTGCGTTTGCGTTGCGAAAGATGTCCTCGACGCGAATGAGGCTCGGGCATGTTGACGTCTTCGTGTCCATGGCGGTCGGCAAGACAGCCATTGCTATCGATTTTTTGACAAGGGCGGGGAGGGGGAGAGAGAGGCGGGCGGACTGGGGCCAAGACCGCAGGCCGTCCCTGACGTGCAGACAGTCCTACCAACGCTTGTGAACGCACGGCACGGCTTGCCAAAGCTGCGGCAGCGCCATGCAAAAGCATATAGCCGCCATGCATCAGTAGTGGCGATGCAGGGCGCTCCAGAGACGACCGAACGGCGGGTATGTGGCATGCGGCTCGCCATCGCTGAACCTTCCATGGCCCCCCGGAAGCCTCGGAGGGCGGCCAAGCGATGTTCCAGAGCCTGTCGCCATGAACGCAGAATCGTCCCCTGCAGCCGGATTACTTTTCAATCCAAGTCGCGCCACACCAGGCGGCCAATTGGGAATGAGCGGCCATGCAACCTTGACCGCACGGGCTGGACAGCTGAACATTGATTCGGCTATGACATAATATCGCTGACAGACTTTGGGACAAGCGCGAGTATGGTGGGTATGGAGGAATTGATAGCGGGGGTTTCACGCCAAGACTCTAGAGCTAGGTCATACTTTCTGTCATTGATGGCGTCGGAAATGCAGGCTAGAGCCGATCTTGCATGTAGATCGGTCTCTCATACCACGGCCAGTGCCGCGATCTCGTCGTCGGCAGGCGTGCCTACTTCGCGGGACGATTCTCGTTGAAAATCTCCACCCATAATCAGACCCTAGGACCACGGCATATCACTCATAACGAAATACCCCTTTCCTCCACATTCGATTTTCATAGAAATCTCTCGTGGTGACTTGGTTCCTGATTGATTGCAAGCTCTAGAGTCCTGCTCGGTCGCCCAGGTGCGCCCCGCATCAGTGTTGCCCCACTCGTTGTACTGCATCAACAGTCTGGCTTGGGCGCCACTCACGTACTGTACCAGACGAAGAACAGAAAATATTAAGGATTTTGAAATCGATATGACCGACAATTTCGTGGTGCACTTGACGATGCGAAGATACTACTCATATACTCTTTGAGGCTCTCGGTGGCCGGCCGACGATATTATTGTGCAGCTTGTGCGGCACGTCGAGGAGCAGTAGAGCAGAAGAAAAGCCCGAACCAACTTCCCCAGCGGATGTAGATAGACAGCCTAATCACTTCAGCGAAAAGCTCTTCCATGTGCTTCGCAAAAGCCGGGAAGTTCAATGCTTGTATCTAGCCCATGCCAAGATCACGCCATGATAATTTGAAAGGACCTCCCAACTCGCAGATTTTGAAGCTGTACCCTGATTGATTGATAAGCCTGTGTGCTTCAAGTGGCGAGAAGGATTTTCGTGATCCATTTCCGGGTCACGGGGAATGTGATCGCCTGCATCACGTCCAAAGCATATAGTAAGAGAAAATGCTGGATACCGTCAAGATGCACCCGGATGCTGAAGGGGTTCCTAAATGCTCTCTAGGGAACATCGTAGAGTTAGGCCAATATTTTCAGCTCGCGTGACGTATGGAGGCGCGAAACTAAGGCGCTAAAAAAGAAGCCGCCTCAACAATTAAACCCCAAGTGGGCATTGTCTCCACCTGTTGATTCACTGATACAGAAAGTACTTGACGTCGGTCGCGGAACAGGTATGTTTCCTCCTCATGTTCTCACAATTGGCGCACATAGCAGCTTACTCGTCCAGGCATTTGGGCAATGTGAAGAATGAACGTCTAACTTGATGCCCTGCGAGGCCGAGCTCATATCTTTCAGTGATTTTGCAGACCACCATCCTCATATTGAAGTGATCGGCCTGGACATCTCCCCGCACCAGCCACACTGGATTCCTGTAAATCTGAAGTTCGAGATGGATGGCATCACACAGCGGTGGACATATCCCGCGGACACATTTGACTACATCCACATGCGCTGGCTGGTGGGCTCAATAAGCGACTGGATCACTCTCTACAAGGAGATCTTCAAGGCTCTCAAGCCAGGCGGCATATTTGAACGCAAAGAGTCGTCCTGCCTGATTCAGAGCGACGACGACTCCGTCGGCCCGAATACTGCACGAAATCTCTGGCGCTTCTATACGGCAACGTCTTGTCTTCGGGGTTTCGACAAGTTTCCGTCCTTCACGCGCGCCGATTGATCTGTTAGATATTGCCACTTGTCCCAAGTCATGAAAAACACGCCGACTGCTCAGTACACCCAACGCCCGAGGGTAATTTCTAGATACAGACTACTCTCAGCGACTCGCATCCTTAGGGTATACGTCCCCAACTCCAATAGACTTCTCCACCGACATAGCAACGCGAGATAATTGGGATCTTCTCCCGAGGACCGATGGCATGATACCAGCTGGATATACGCGTCTGAATGTTCTGCGCAACAGCGTTAGAAATTCTTGGGCTCACGATAAACAATTGTCAACATTTCACACGAGGCTGACATTAGATGCCTAACATGAAAGCCGCCTAGAGCTCGTAGGCTCAAATAGCCGATCCTGTTTATTTCAGCGACATGTTTGGATTTTTGTAGCCATCCATGTTAAGCTGTGCCTCGTGGCCGAAGACCATTCAGTTCTTGCCCTGAGGTGGCAGCCGACTTTACGTGCCCCACAGTGGAGTCATGATGCTGCTGGCACCCATTCGCTGGTGAGCTTAAATCGACCTCCCAATTCGAGGCTGAATGAGAGTCATTCTCAAAAGCTTTAGCCAGTAACTCCGGCTTGTACTCCGATTAGAGAATGCATTTATATTATACAGGTCCTCTATAGTGTGCAGTCCCTTCATCTATGCATGGCCAAACATACTGTTATCGACAGCGAGCAGTCATTAAATGGTAGCGGAGCTGTGCCGCAGATAGGCGGATCGTCATTCTTGAAAGGCCGTCAGGAGGCGAAGTCCTCCCACCAGCATGAGACAACGGCCGCAGGCTCGCCGCAGGCTCGCCGCAGATTTATCATCTCCTGAGGTGCTTTGGATCGGTCGGCTTTTTTTCACTATGCTAGGCTGTGTTCCTGTGGCTACGTACCTGGCCTGGCTGTTATGCTCGGATCCACGTTGATTCCCATTGATCCCCATCGAGAGACAGAAGGATGCAAAGCCAGTTATGCGTTTATGCTCCATCGGCTAGACCGTGTTTGGTCAAAACCCTGTCGCATCTGGCCCCGCCTTTCGCAACCTCGCCTTCCCCAAGCAGCTCACGGCCCTCGAGCAGTACTTGGGCGCTCAATTGACGGAGCCCAAGACTGCTCTGCTCGCCGTCGGCCGCAAGTCGGGACAATGCGAGGCAGGAAACACGCAGAAGCGCCAGGCCTGCTGCCGCTCAACCTACTACGAGCCAGCCGAGGCCGAGCGCCAGCCCTTCGTGGCTGTCCAGGATGTCTTTTGCTGCAAAACCATCGCAAGCCCGCCAAGCAGCTGTTCCTGCACATCGATGAGTCTCTCGGGCGAGGCCTTCGCGTCATTGCCTATCACACCAAGAATGACTACGTTTGGTCCCCTGGTTCGGTCATCCCTTCAAGCCAAATCCTGCCTATCATGTATTTTAGCAGGTAGTGACTCAAGTCGAACGAGAGGAGCTAATCGGATGGCTCACAGATCACCACACCCCGCCTTCGTCGGAGAAGGAGTTCTGCCGTCGAAACTATGTGTGGAAGACTTTCACTTGGGATCAAGATGGCCAAATGCTTGCGGCGGTTTCGAAGGGCGGTGGTAAGAAGCGGACGGTCATCATCGAGGATTGCATTATCGAGGTAGTAGAACTCGTGCATACCTCAAACAGCCATGCAGGATGGGACACCACATGGAGGGATGTTAATCACTCCTCTTAACGCATCATGCGAGCCGACGTGATCTTCCTGCTTAAACGGTGGGACATTTGCGTATCGAATCCTCGCAAGCGTCCAAAGGGATCCAAATTGACAGAAGCTAGCCCAGACCGCGCTGGTCTAGATGCTTATGAGCGCCAGAATGGCAAGGACCTCCTGGGTCTGGTACACAGCTTCATGATCGAGGCCTTGGACATGGCGATGCCGTAGGGGCGAACAGGTGTTGAAGAGAATAGACAGGGGGCGGATCTGACTCGGCGAGGATCTCTTGGCTTCTGCGTTCTCTGAGATATCAAATCGAAATACTGGACGCGTTTGTGTCTTCATTGTGCTGCTCCTTCTGTTCTCGCGCGCTCCTCCATCTGCTTTTTGAGCCACTCGGCAAGGTGCTCCAGGGAGGTTGGTTCGGCAAGACTAGAGTGCCCCAGGGGGTCCCGTTCGGATCCTTGGATGTCCACCCTCTTCAACCCTTGCAATGTACAAAGGTCCTGGATGCCTGCATTATTCTTGAAGGACTCGAATCCTCTCTTCTGTATCAGGTCACTGTCAAATTGAAGAGACAAGTGCCGCAGCCGTTTGCACTGTTTCAACAACTGGATACAAATCGACCACATGGGAAGCTGTACGAGCCCCAGGTCTGAAGATATAGCCCAATTGTTGGTAGGCTC